CACATTGTCTTGGAACATGCATAAATCGACTTAAGTGATCTACTATATTCTCAAAAAAGGAACCATGGGTCTATTCCGTTTCCTTTTGCCTGTTACAAACATATGCACAAAGACATAATACCCTGTACCACAGTGTGGTGAAGGGTATAAAAAACTATTTATTTTGTGAAATCCTGAAGGTGCTCTGGTCCATTTTTTTCGCAGTGTATATCCCAATTTGAAATAATGTTTATCTTAAAAGCAAAAAATAATATCGAAAACCTAACCAAATGGCTATTTTGATTATAGTTCCATAAAGATTACATTCCCCCTATTAACCCAATACAGCATAGTTCTGGTCTATCTCGAACCCTCATTATCACCTACAATTAAAGTGGTAATCAATTTCAAATTATAACAAAAAAATCCGATAAAGAATTTTCATTTCGAAAATCGAACGATTTCACCCTGAAGCCAGTTGTTCAGTCAGTTGACATCAATGATGAGGTACAGAATAGTGACTTTAGCTCTCCTGGTTTTGGCTTCCGTGGCAATCGAAGCCAAAGTTGATTGGTGGGAAGGTGCATCGTTGTACCAGATCTATCCTCGTTCTTTTCAGGACAGTGATGGCGATGGTGTGGGTGATCTGAATGGCATTACATCACGTTTGGAATATTTAAAAGAAATTGGTATTACGGCCACCTGGCTTTCACCGGTCTTCGAATCGCCAATGTCAGATTTTGGTTATGATATTTCGAATTTTACTCGTATCGATCCCATTTTTGGTACTTTGGAAGATTTTGATGCCATGATCGCCAAGGCCAAACAGTTGGGAGTGAAAATTATTTTGGATTTTGTACCGAATCATTCCAGCGATGAATGTGAATGGTTTCAAAAATCCATAAGAAGGGAGGTGGGGTTTGAGGATTTCTATGTGTGGGATGATGGTAAGGTGGATCCGGAGGATAACTCGAAGCGACTGCCGCCAAGTAATTGGGTAAGTTAACGCATCTCTCTCTCTCTCTCTCTCTCTCAAAGTAATAATTTAAAATTTTAAAAATTATCATTTTTTAGATTTCCGTTTTTGGTGGCTCCCAATGGACCTGGAATGCCGAACGCCAGCAATTCTATTTGCATCAATTCCAGGATAAACAACCCGATTTGAATTTTTCCAATCCTTTGGTGAGACAACACATGTTGGGTGTATTGGAATATTGGTTGGATCGTGGTGTTGATGGTTTCCGCATCGACGCGGTGCCTCACATTTTCGAAAAGCGTAACGATGATGGTACATATCCGGATGAACCTTTATCGGGTTGGTCTTCTGACCCCAATAGTTATGATTATCATGATCATATTTATACCAAGGATCAATATCCCACCGTCGAACTGTTATATGAATGGAGGGAATTTTTGGATTCGTATCAGGCGAAGAATGGTGGAGATACAAGGTAAGGGGAAATACTGGGAATTTTTAAAAATTAATTTTTAAGTTTCACCCTAAGGCGTGGATTTTTAAAAAAAAATATTTTTAGAAGTTCACCCTAAGGCGTGATTTAAAAAAAAAAATACTTTTTCAAGTCCACCCTAAGTCGTGGATTTTTTTAAAAAAAAATTTCAAGTCCAACCTAAGGCGTGGATTTTTTAAAGAATATTTTTTCATGTCCAACCTAAGGCGTGGATTTTTTAAAGAATATATTTTCAAGTCCAACCTAAGGCGTGGATTTTTTAAAGAATATTTTTTCAAGTCCAACCTAAGGCGTGGATTTTTTAAAGAATATTTTTTCAAGTCCAACCTAAGGCGTGGATTTTTTAAAGAATATTTTTTCAAGTCCAACCTAAGGCGTGGATTTTTTAAAGAATATTTTTTCAAGTCCAACCTAAGGTGTGGATTTTTTAAAGAATATTTTTTCAAGTCCAACCTAAGGCGTGGATTTTTTAAAGAATATTTTTTCAAGTCCAACCTAAGGCGTGGATTTTTTAAAGAATATTTTTTCAAGTCCAACCTAAGGCGTGGATTTTTTAAAGAATATTTTTTCAAGTCCAACCTAAGGCGTGGATTTTTTAAAGAATATTTTTTCAAGTCCAACCTAAGGCGTGGATTTTTTAAAGAATATTTTTTCAAGTCCAACCTAAGGCGTGGATTTTTTAAAGAATATTTTTTCAAGTCCAACCTAAGGCGTGGATTTTTTAAAGAATATTTTTTCAAGTCCAACCTAAGGCGTGGATTTTTTAAAGAATATTTTTTCAAGTCCAACCTAAGGCGTGGATTTTTTAAAGAATATTTTTTCAAGTCCAACCTAAGGCGTGGATTTTTTAAAGAATATTTTTTCAAGTCCAACCTAAGGCGTGGATTTTTTAAAGAATATTTTTTCAAGTCCAACCTAAGGCGTGGATTTTTTAAAGAATATTTTTTCAAGTCCAACCTAAGGCGTGGATTTTTTAAAGAATATTTTTTCAAGTCCAACCTAAGGCGTGGATTTTTTAAAGAATATTTTTTCAAGTCCAACCTAAGGCGTGGATTTTTTAAAGAATATTTTTTCAAGTCCAACCTAAGGCGTGGATTTTTTAAAGAATATTTTTTCAAGTCCAACCTAAGGCGTGGATATTTTAAAGAATATTTTTTCAAGTCCAACCTAAGGCGTGGATTTTTTAAAGAATATTTTTTCAAGTCCAACCTAAGGCGTGGATTTTTTAAAGAATATTTTTTCAAGTCCAACCTAAGGCGTGGATTTTTTAAAGAATATTTTTTCAAGTCCAACCTAAGGCGTGGATTTTTTAAAGAATATTTTTTCAAGTCCAACCTAAGGCGTGGATTTTTTAAAGAATATTTTTTCAAGTCCAACTTAAGGCGTGGATTTTTTAAAGAATATTTTTTCAAGTCCAACCTAAGGCGTGGATTTTTTAAAGAATATTTTTTCAAGTCCAACCTAAGGCGTGGATTTTTTAAAGAATATTTTTTCAAGTCCAACCTAAGGCGTGGATTTTTTAAAGAATATTTTTTCAAGTCCAACCTAAGGCGTGGATTTTTTAAAGAATATTTTTTCAAGTCCAACCTAAGGCGTGGATTTTTTAAAGAATATTTTTTCAAGTCCAACCTAAGGCGTGGATTTTTTAAAGAATATTTTTTCAAGTCCAACCTAAGGCGTGGATTTTTTAAAGAATATTTTTTCAAGTCCAACCTAAGGCGTGGATTTTTTAAAGAATATTTTTTCAAGTCCAACCTAAGGCGTGGATTTTTTAAAGAATATTTTTTCAAGTCCAACCTAAGGCGTGGATTTTTTAAAGAATATTTTTTCAAGTCCAACCTAAGGCGTGGATTTTTTAAAGAATATTTTTTCAAGTCCAACCTAAGGCGTGGATTTTTTAAAGAATATTTTTTCAAGTCCAACCTAAGGCGTGGATTTTTTAAAGAATATTTTTTCAAGTCCAACCTAAGGCGTGGATTTTTTAAAGAATATTTTTTCAAGTCCAACCTAAGGCGTGGATTTTTTAAAGAATATTTTTTCAAGTCCAACCTAAGGCGTGGGTTTAAAAAAAATAATTTTTCAAGTCCACCCTAAGGCGTGGGTTTAAAAAAATAATTTTTCAAGTCCACCTTAAGGCGTGGATTTTTAAAAAAATAGTTTTTCAAGTTCAGAAAAACAAATTTTGTTGATCCTCACGTTGGGCGCCATTTGTTTATTCTTGTAATTTTTTAACTTGTCCCCCTTTTTCAGAATCCTCTTGGCCGAGGCCTATTCCTCTGTGGAAACTTTGAGCCTTTACTTCGGCAATGGCACCCATTCCGGAGCCCATTTACCCATGAATTTCAATTTGATGTATTTGAACGGGTTCTCAACGGCCCAAGATGTTGAAAACTCTGCCAACTATTGGATGGACACAATGTGGAAAAATCATCAAACAGCCAATTGGGTTGTGGGTAATCATGACAATGGTCGTGTGGCCGATCGTATGGGGCGCCATAAGGTGGATTTGCTAAACATTATTGTTAACACCATGCCGGGGGCTTCCGTGACCTATTACGGCGAGGAAATTGGCATGGCCAATGTCCCTACCGAATGTACTCCAATCTCCTGTGATAATCGTGATCCCGAACGTACACCCATGCAATGGGAACCATTGCCAAATGCAGGATTTTCTAAGGGACCCTCAACCTGGCTACCCATTGCCGATGATTACAAGACCTATAATGTCGAAACGGAACGTATGGTAGCACGCAGTACTTTGAATATTTTCAAGGGTCTACAGAAACTTAAACATACTGCAGCTTTTCGCAATTTCAAAGAGAAGGGAGGTTTCTCTTATAAGGCTCTGTCGCAACAGGTTCTTCAAATTGTGCGAGCTGTTCCAGATCAAGAGGAATATATGGTCCTTATTAATATGGGCAACAAAATGGAATATGTGGAAAATCTGAATAATCGTAGCTATGAATATGCCCTAGTGAGTCCACATTCGCCACGCTCGATTGGGTATGTATGAAGTGCGGTAGAATTTGGAATGAATTTTGTTTTTTATTTTTGTTGTTGTTTTCTTTTTCTTTTTGGTTTTGTTTATTTTATTACATTTATAGTGATAAGGCAAATTTGAGTGGCCGCTTTTATTTAATGCCCTACGAAGCTGTGGTCTTGCGCTGGTTGGGCCGATAACGCTTATAAATCAATTATCTACACAAATGGGCTGATATGAGCTGAATGAGTTGGCAAAGATAATATGTCAAGTGTGTGTGAAGTTATTACAATATAATAAAAAACAAAAACAACGAAAATATAAAATGCGTGGATTTTCTAAAAATGTATTTTAGGGGCCTATCATAAGGCGTGGTTACAAAAAAAAAAAATATTTTCAAGGCATATCTAAGGCGTGTCCACGTTAAATTATAAATAAAGTACAGGTCGCATTTATGATTCGAATTGGATGAAATTTGGCACAGCTAATTTATTTGGCCCAAGGACGAATCCTATTGAAAATGGGAAAAATCGGTTCAGATTTAGATATAGCTCCCATATATATTTTCGTCTGATTTAAGGTAAATGGTGAACCAAAGTCCCTATATATCTTCCGATTTGCACGAAATTTGGCATAGCGTACTGAATTAAGCCTAAAATAATGTGTGCCACGTTTCGTGAAAATCGGTTCATATTTAGATATACCTCCCATATACATTTTCGTGCGATTTAAGGTAAATGGTGATCCAAAGTTCCTAAATAACTTTCGATTTGCACGAAATTTGGCACAGCTAACTGAATTAAGCCTAGAATGATGTGTGCTAAGTTTCGTGAAAATCGGTTCAGATTTATATATAGCTCCCATATACATTTTCGTCCGATTTAAGGTAAATGGTGAACCAAAGTCCCTATATATCCTCCGATTTTCACGAAATTTGGTATAGCGTACTGAGTTAAGGCTAGAACGGTGAGTGTTAAGTTTCGTGAAAATCGGTTCATATTTATATATAGCTCCCATATATATTTTCGTCCGATTTAAGGTAAATGATGCACCAAAGTTCCTATATATCATTCCATTTGCACGAAATTTGGCATAGAGTACTGAATGATGTGTGCTAAGTTTCGTGAAAATCGGTTCAGATTTAGATATGGCTCCCATATATCCGACCGATTTAAGGTAAATGGGGAACTACAGTTCCTCTATATCTTTCGATTTGCACGAAATTTGGCGCAGAGTACTGAATTAGGTCCAGAATGATGTGTGCCAAATTTCGAGAAAATCGGTTCAGATTTATATATAGCTCCTATATATAGTTTTGTCCGATTTAAGGTAAATGGTGCTCCAAAGTCCTTATATACTTTTCGATTTGCTCGAAATTTGGCACAGCTTACTGAATTAAGAGTAGAATGATGTGTGTTAAGTTTCGTGAAAATCGGGTCAGATTTACATATAGGTCCCATGTATATATTCGTCCGATTTAAGGTAAATGGTGCACCAAAGTCCCTATATATCTTCCGATTTGCACGAAATTTGGCATAGCGTACTGAATTAAGGCTAGAACGGTAAGTGTTAAGTTCCGTGAAAATCGGTTCAGATTTAGATATGGCTCCCATATATATTTTCGACCGATTTAAGGTAAATGGGGAACTAGAGTTCCTCTATATCTTTCGATTGGGGCGAAATTTGGCACAGAGTACTGAATTAGGTCCAGAATGAGGTGTGCCAAGTTTCGTGAAAATCGGTTCAAATTTAGATATAACTCCCATATATAGTTTCGTTCGATTTAAGATAAATGGTGCACCAAAGTCCCTGTGTATATTTTACAAAGTAAAGAACTCCAAATCAGGTAAAATTTTTAAAAGCTATTTTTTTATTTTATTTTATAAGTTAGATCATAACGGTAAAAATATCCTCTTAAACAGTCTTCAGAACTACGGCTTCCTTGGGCATTAAAGTTATCGAATCGGTGTGGGCCAAATCTCTGCAAAAATTACAAAGGATAGAAATTATTACAAATTTTATAAATTTAATTAAAGCTCTTAGAAACCTACCCCTTGCGCCTGGGACTGCGATCGGTGACCACAACATATTCCATTGAGCTAGAGAGGCCAGAGAATGCACTATGTAAATTCAGAGACTCTACAGAGTCATTGATGTTCAGCAGGACAACATAGGTAGCTTCGCCAGCAAGGGATCTAAGAGGAAATCGAAAAATAACTACCTTTCCATTTTGATAATTATTCTGAAACCCCTACCTCTTAATACCCAAAACATTTTCACTCAAAGCCTTAACATCACCCGTACCCTTTTGGAATGTTGGTTCTCTTCTCAGATTTTGCAACTGCTTGTAAACATTCAAGTGGCTGTAGGAGATACCACGCTCACGTTTTACATTAACGGTTCCATAATTATCAGCCACCGGTAGCCATGTGGTGTTACCTTCAGTAAATCCAGCAAAACGATTATCGTTCCAATGGAAGGGGGTACGTACAGGATCGCGGGTCAAACGTTCATAATTTTCAGGATTAGATTGACAGGCCTGAGGATCGACGGTTTCCTCCCAAGAAATCCAAACATCGGTCATACCAATTTCCTCGCCATTATAGGTGATGCTGCAACCGGGCAGGGTCAAAAGCAAGGTGTTGATGAGATCAATGCGATCCTCACCCAGGCGAGAGCCGAATCTACTTTGGTCGTGGTTACCAAGCTAAGGAAGGGAATATCATAATTAAATGATGCTTGATTTTAGAATCCCATTTCCTGCATACTCACCACCCAATTGGCTGTCTTGCCCTCGGGCATATTCCTCAGCCAGGTATTGATGAGCTCATCATAATGATAGGCATTCGATTGTTTATTCAGATTACTGATCAATTGGAAATTGAAGGGTATCTGGGCACCCTGATGAGTACTATTACCATAATATTGCATAATCACATCCAACGGAGCATAGGCTTCGGTCATAATAATGCGATCATCACCACCCAATTCTTGATCCATTTCTTCGAGCACCTGACGGAATTGATAGACCATATCAATGGTTTCGGGTTGATTGGTGGTATAGATATGTTGATAATATTCATAATCTTCGGGATCGTTGACATTGGGATTGCGAGGCTCATCGGGATAATTGCCTTCGGCATCGGGACTGATTTCGAAAGTGTGAGGCACAGCATCAACACGGAAACCAGAGACGCCACGACGCAGCCAGAAACGGAAGACGTCCTGAAAAGAGAGGGATTCATTTTATTTTAAATATTTTTTCAAGGACTAAAATTAAGGTCCGATATTAGGCGTGGATTATTTAAAATATTTTTCATGGACTAAAAATAGGCGTTGATTTTGTAAAAATATTTTTTCAAGAACTAAAATTAAGGTCCTCTATTAGTCGTGGATTATTTAACATATTCTTTCAAGGACTAAAATTAAGGTCCTTTATTAGGCGTGGATTTTTTCAAGGACTAAAATTAAGGTCTATATTAGGCGTGGATTTTTTCAAGGACTAAAATTGAGGTCCTATATTAGGCGTGGATTTTTTCAAGGACTAAAATTAAGGTCCTATATTAGGCGTGGATTTTTTCAAGGACTAAAATTAAGGTCCTATATTAGGCGTGGATTTTTTCAAGGACTAAAATTAAGGTCCTATATTAGGCGTGGATTTTTTCAAGGACTAAAATTAAGGTCCTATATTAGGCGTGGATTTTTTCAAGGACTAAAATTAAGGTCCTATATTAGGCGTGGATTTTTTCAAGGACTAAAATTAAGGTCCTATATTAGGCGTAGATTTTTTCAAGGACTAGAATTAAGGTCCTATATTAGGCGTGGATTTTTTCAAGGACTAAAATTAAGGTCCTATATTAGGCGTGGATTTTTTCAAGGACTAAAATTAAGGTCCTATATTAGGCGTGGATTTTTTCAAGGACTAAAATTAAGGTCCTATATTAGGCGTGGATTTTTTCAAGGACTAAAATTAAGGTCCTATATTAGGCGTGGATTTTTTCAAGGACTAAAATTAAGGTCCTATATTAGGCGTGGATTTTTTCAAGGACTAAAATTAAGGTCCTATATTAGGCGTGGATTTTTTCAAGGACTAAAATTAAGGTCCTATATTAGGCGTGGATTTTTTCAAGGACTAAAATTAAGGTCCTATATTAGGCGTGGATTTTTTCAAGGACTAAAATTAAGGTCCTATATTAGGCGTGGATTTTTTCAAGGACTAAAATTAAGGTCCTATATTAGGCGTGGATTTTTTCAAGGTCTAAAATTAAGGTCCTATATTAGGCGTGGATTTTTTAAAATATATTTTCAAGAGTCTATATAAGGCGTGGATATTTTTTAAACATATTTTTTCAAGGATCTATATAAGGCTGGATTTTTTAAAATGTTTTTACGCGGGCCACACAAGGCCTTGATTTTTAAACATATCTTTTCCAAGGCTTTCCAGAAAGGGGGCGTGGTTTTTAATGAGTATTTTATCCCTTACCTTCATCATATCCATAACTTTGGGATTGCGATAATTCAAATCCGGTTGCTTGGCATGAAACTGGTGCAAATAGTATTCCTGACGCCCTTCATGCCATGTCCACATACTGCCACGGAAAACACTTATCCATGTCGTGGGTGGCTGGCGAACGCCATTGACAATTTTACCCGGATGCCATACATAAAAATCTTTATACTCCGGATCACGGGCAGCCGACTTAATAAACCATTCACATTCATCACTCGTATGATTGGGTACAAAATCCAAAATAATTTTAACGCCGATGGCCTTTGCCTTGGAAATCAAGGCTTCAAAATCTTCCATGGTACCAAAGATGGGATCAATTTCCGTCAAATTGGCAACATCATAACCAAAATCGGCCATGGGTGAAGTGAAAATGGGTGATAGCCAGGTGGCGGTGATGCCAATTTCTTTCAAGTAGGGCAATTGTTGGGTAATGCCTGGAAGAAAAGAAATATTTTTATTTTTAATTTTAGAAAAAATATCTGTGGTGAAGATTCTCCCCCTGACTTACCCTTTAAGTCGCCCACACCATCTCCATCACTGTCCTTAAATGACCGGGGATAAATTTGATAGAATGAGGCCGTTTGCCACCATTTGAGATCGGCAGCCTGGCTTCCCAGTAGTATGGCCAAAAGGCAAATTATTTGCAGCGCTCTCATTTTTTCGTACGAGGTTTTGGGGTTCTGGCCCTCTTTACCGTTAACCGTTCGGTGGGCTAATGTCGTGACTTTCAATTAAACTTGCCGATTTATAATCTTCAGTGCGTACCAGAAAAGCTATGGTAAATCAGTTGTGATAAACATAATCATTTTTAACATCCATTTTTTTTTTAAATGACCTAAGTCAAAAAGTAAATTTTTTCAAAATATTTTTCAAGGATCCATATAAAGCGTGGATTTTTTTTAAATATTTCTATAAAATATACACCTTTGGTAAGGACTTGAAAACATATTTTTAAAAAATCCACACCTTTGGTAAGGATTTGAAAAACCTTTTTTACGCCATTGGTAAGGTCTTGAAAAATATTTTTAAATAATCCTCGCCACCCCCTCTTCCATTCGTCTGGAAAAATTGTGACAAATTTGGAATCAATTCCCTGTGAATTGGTTAATCAGATCCATCCCTACTTACTCTCATTTCTTAAAGCTCTCTTTCTCTCTATTACTGGGTTTTTTTAATATTTTTAACAAATTAACTTAGTCTCTTTTTACAAATATCGACATATTATTTTACCACTATAGTTTATCAATAAATTTCAACTAAGAAGTGGATTACCACAATCATAAATTATTGTCAATTAATTTATGATTCGTGGTTTGGTATTTTCTCATTACCTTCTCATTTGTCTTGCTGTGCAGATAAAATAAAATACGAACAAATAGCGCGGTACTCAATAATTTCGTTACAAGTTAATAGTAGCACACGTTTATATTTATTTTTAAAACACTTAAGCTAACACACACAAAAAATAACACGAAAAATAAATAATTTATGACCTCAAATAGGTCATATAATAAAAAATTAAAATTTGAAAAAAAATTGAAAAAATTAGAAAAAATTAAATCAACACATCTGGACACTATAAACGATGACTCTAAAGTAGAATGTAGAAGAATTAGGTTAGGTGATGAAAAAGAGGTAGGGAAAGGTCATTTATAAATAGAAAAGGATGAGAATAGTTCATTAGAATCAGTAATAGAGAGAAAGAGAGCCTTAAGAGAAGACATTGACTAGGGATGTATTCAGGATGGATCCGATTACCAATTCACTGGGAATTGATTCCAAAAAGGCCTTACCAAAGGCGTGGATTTTTTAAAAATATTTTGTCAAGGCCTTACCAAAGGCGTCGATTTTTTAAAAAAATTTTGTCAAGGCCTTACCAATGGCGTGGATTTTTCAAAAAAATTTTGTCAAGGCCTTACCAAAGGCGTGGATTTTTTAAAAATATTTTGTCAAGGCCTTACCAATGGCGTGGATTTTTTAAAAATATTTTGTCAAAGCCTTACCAAAGGCGTGGATTTTTTCCATGCTACATTGTAAACAATGTACAGGTCCCATTTTTGATTCGAATTGGATGAAATTTGGCATAGGTCACTTATTTGGCCCAAGGACAAACCCTATTGAAATTGGGAAAAATCGGTTCAGTTTTATATATAGCTCCCATATATATTTTCGTCCGATTCAATGTAAATGGCGTACCAAAGTCTCTATATATCTTTCGATTTGCACGAAATTTAGCATAGCGTAATGAATTAGGTCTAGAATGATGTGTGCTTAGTTTCGTGAAAATCGGTCCAAATTTAGATATAGCTCCCATATATATTTTCATCCGATTAAAGGTAAATGGTGCACCAAAGTCCCGAAATATATCTCGGTTTGCACGAAATTTGGCACAGCGTACTGAATTGAGCCTAGAATGATGTGTGCTAAGTTTCGTGAAAATCGGCTCAGATTTGAATATAGCTCTTATATATAATTTCGTCCGATTTAAGGTAAATAGTGCACGAAAATACCTATATATCCTTCGATTTGCACGAAATTTGGCATAACATACTGAATTGAGACTAGAATGATGTGAGCTAAGTTTCCTGAAAATCGGTTCAGATTTAGATATAGCTCCCATATATATTTTCATCCGATTTAAGGTAAATGGTGCACCAAAGTCCCTATATATCCTTCGATTTGCAAGAAATTTGGCATAACGTACTAAATAAAGTCTAGAAAGATGTGTGTTAACTTTCATGAAAATCGGTTCAGATTTAGATATAGCTTCCATATATATTTTTGTCCGATTTAAGGTAAATGATGCACCATAGTACCTAAATATCTCTCGACTGGCACAAAATTTGGCACAGCATACTGAATTGAGCCTAAAATGATGTGTGCTAAGTTTCGTGAAAATCGGTTCAGATTTAGATATAGCTTCCATATATATTTTCGTCCGATTTAATATAAATGGTGTAATAAAGTCTCTATATATCTTTCGATTTGCACGAAATTTGGCACAGCGTACTGAATTAGGTCTAGAATGATGTGTGTTAAGTTTCATGAAAATCGGTTTAGATTTAGATATAGCTCCCATATATATTTTCGCCCGATTTTAGGTAAATGGTGCACGAAAGTACCTATATATCTTTCGATTTACACGAAATTTGGCAAAGTGTACTGAATTATTTCTAGAAAGATGTGTGTTTAATTTCATAAAAATCGGTTCAGATTTAGATATAACGTACTGAATTAAGTCTAGAATGATGTGTGTTTAATTTTGTGAAAATTCGTTCAGTTTCCATGAAATCGGTTCAGATTTCGATATAGCTTTTATATATATATATATATAAACATGGGCTTCAATATATCTAAACATAGCTATCATATAATCTCTCTTTCAGTTTCCCTCCCCCTTCATATCAAATTAGTTTACTGGGTTATTGTATCACCATATGTTTCCCAAGAAACTAATTACCAAAAAAATTTCCCTATAAAACCAAATAGATGGGGTCATAAAGATAAAGATGAAATATTAAACAAAACTCAATCGATTAAGCGTTTAGCTTTTCTCCGATATTATGGTCAAATAAAGATTAGCAAACATAGATTGTTAATTACCCTTATCGAATACAACAAAACCGATGGCTGAGCCTGTCCGAGTTGCCCTGATGGAAGAACTGAAGAAAAAATTCATTCAGTCGCATAAATCAATCAAACGACGTCATGATGGTGAAGTGGACACATTGCTGTCTGGTGGTGCTACTATTGGGAATTTATTCCAACCATGTGGAAGCCAAGAAGGCATGGTGGGAGACTGCTTCTTTCTATCAAATATATCCTCGATCCTTTAAGGACAGCGATGGTGATGGTATCGGGGATTTAAAAGGTGTCACCAGTAAATTGGCATATTTGAAAGAAATCGGTATGGCTGCCACGTGGTTGTCACCATTCTTGAAATCACCCATGGCAGATTTTGGTTATGACATCTCAAATTTCACCGAAGTTGATCCACTCTTTGGGACCATGGAAGATTTTGAGGAGATGATGCGCAAATCCAAAGAATTGGGAGTGCGTATCATTTTGGATTTTGTTCCCAATCACTCAAGTGATGAATGTGAATGGTTTATCAAATCGGCTGCCCGTGATCCGGAATATAAAGATTATTATGTTTGGCATCCGGGTAAAATTGTCAATGGCACCAGGACGGTACCCAATAATTGGGTAAGTGTTTTCCGTGGCTCGGCATGGGAATGGCATGAAGGCAGACAGGAGTACTATTTACATCAGTTCCATAAAAAACAACCGGATTTTAATTTTCGTAATCCCAAAGTTCGTGAGGCAATGAATGTAAGTAGAGAGGGGGAGGAGGGGGAGAAAAGGAGGGGATGTAATATTTTTTTGTTTTTAATTTTCTTTATAGGAAATTTTACGTTTCTGGTTACGCAAAGGCATTGATGGCTTCCGTGTCGATGCCATTTATCATGCCTTCGAAGTGGCGCCCGATGCTGAGGGTAATTATCCGGATGAACCTCGCAATGATTGGACCGATGACCCTGATGATTATGGCTATGTCCATCACATCTATACGGTTGATCAACCGGAGACTCCTCACTTGGTTTATGAATGGCGTCAGGTTTTGGATGATTTTTGGAAGGAGAATGGAGGGGATGAGAGGTGAGTCAAGGAAGGGAAAGGCGGGGATTTTTTAAACAAATTTTCGGGGCTTCATAAAGGCGTGGATTTTTAAAAAATATTTTTAGGGGCTTCATAAAGGCGTGGATTTTTAAATATATTTTTAGGGGCTTCATAAAGGCGTGGATTTTTAAAAATATTTTTAGGGGCTTCATAAAGGCGTGGATTTTTAAAAATATTTTTAGGGGCTTCATAAAGGCGTGGATTTTTAAAAATATTTTTAGGGGCTTCATAAAGGTGTGGATTTTTAAAAAAAAAAATTCGGGGCTTCATAAAGGCGTGGATTTTTAAAAATATTTTTAGGGGCTTCATAAAGGTGTGGATTTTTAAAAAAAAAATTTCGGGGCTTCATAAAGGCGTGGATTTTTAAAAATATTTTTAGGGGCTTCATAAAGGCGTGGATTTTTAAAAATATTTTTAGGGGCTTCATAAAGGCGTGGATTTTTAAAAATATTTTTAGGGGCTTCATAAAGGCGTGGATTTTTAAAAATATTTTTAGGGGCTTCATAAAGGTGTTAAAAAAAAAATTCGGGGCTTCATAAAGGCGTGGATTTTTAAAAATATTTTTAGGGGCTTCATAAAGGTGTGGATTTTTAAAAAAAAAATTTCGGGGCTTCATAAAGGCGTGGATTTTTAAAAATATTTTTAGGGGCTTCATAAAGGTGTGGATTTTTAAAAAAAAAATTTCGGGGCTTCATAAAGGCGTGGATTTTTTAAAATATTTTTTCCTTTTCCCCTAGAATACTCATGGTTGAAACATGGTCCCCCATTGAAATTGTCATGGAATATTATGGAAATTCCACAGCCGAGGGTGCTCAAATACCCTTCAATTTCCAAATGATCAGTTATTTGTGGAACGATTCGGATGCCTATCATTATGCCAATTTAATTAATGAATGGCTGAGTAAAATGCCGGCAGGACGTACCGCCAATTGGGTGGTGGGTAATCATGATAAAAATCGTGTTGGTACTCGCTTCGGAGCCGATCGTATTGATATGTTCAATATGATGTTGTTGACCCTGCCCGGGTGTAGTATTACCTATAATGGTGAGGAAATTGGTATGACCGATGTATGGATTTCATGGGAGGAGACTGTGGATCCACAGGCATGTAACGGCCATGAAGATGGTTATGAATATAGGTCACGGGATCCAGCACGTACCCCCTTCCAGTGGAATGATGAGAAAAATGCCGGATTTTCAGATGGTAGCACAACCTGGTTGCCGGTGAGCCCGAATTATAAAATGGATAATTTGAAAAGGCAAAGAGGTATTGCGAGGAGTCACTTGAATATTTTCAAGCAATTGCAACAATTGAGATCTGAGGATACCTTGAGGGAGGGTGAGACAGAGGTGAAGGCCTTCAGTCATGATGTTTTGGGTATTAAGCGGTGAGTGGAGAGGAAATGATAATAATTTGTAAAATTAAATTTTATTTCTTATACATTTCAGTTCCCTTTACAAAGATTACACATACATTACCCTCATGAATATTTTCGATTCAACACAAATCGTAAACTTAAACGATGTCTTTAAGAATTTACCCTCCGAATTTGAATATGTGGTCCTCAGTGATAAGTCAATCCGCCGCAAAGGGTAAGTTCTTCCCCTAGACTTTTAAATGTCTTTTAATTGTCGTTTAAATTGTCTTCGTCTAAAATTTTATTCTTCCTCAATTCTCTTTTTGGGAGTTGAAGTTTTAAATTGCCTTTAAATTCATTTGGGAATTTTTTCTTTTGTTTTGTGTGTGTGTGTGTTTGTTTTTGCAGCGATAAAGTTTCGAGCAATAAAATTGAGTTGCTACCCAAAGAAGCTGTGGTTTTGAGGTCAACTGTAAAAGTTTAATCGTTGGTCCTGATATGGTCATGTGGTAATGTTAATTAGAAAATATTTAAATACAAAAAAATAATAAATATGCAAATGATATAAATGAAAAAAAAACTGGAATTTATTTTGAAGGAAAACGTGGTAAATATTTTTTCAAACAGCCAACATAGGCGTGGATTTTTTAAAAATATTTTTTCAAACAGCCAACATAGGCGTGGATTTTTTAAAAATATTTTTTAGGCGTGGATTTTGTTAAAATATTTTTTTAGGGTCCACATATAGGCGTGGATCTTGTTAAAATATCTTTTTAGGTTCCACATATAGGCGTGGATTTTGTTAAAATATTTTTTTAGGGTCCACATATAGGCGTGGATTTTGTTAAAATATTTTTTTAGGGTCCACATATAGGCGTGGATTTTGTTAAAAAAATTTTTTAGGGTCCACATATAGGCGTGGATTTTGTTAAAATATTTTTTTAGGGTCCACATATAGGCGTGGATTTTGTTAAAATATTTTTTTAGGTTCCACATATAGGCGTGGATTTTGTTAAAACATTTTTTTAGGGTCCACATATAGGCGTGGATTTTGTTAAAATATTTTTTTAGGGTCCACATATAGGCGTGGATTTTGTTAAAATATTTTTTTAGGGTCCACATATAGGCGTGGATTTTGTTAAAAAAATTTTTTAGGGTCCACATATAGGCGTGGATTTTGTTAAAATATTTTTTTAGGGTCCATATATAGGCGTGGATTTTGTTAAAATATTTTTTTAGGTTCCACATATAGGCGTGGATTTTGTTAAAACATTTTTTTAGGGTCCACATATAGGCGTGGATTTTGTTAAAATATTTTTTTAGGGTCCACATATAGGCGTGGATTTTTATACCCTATACAACATAGTTATACAGGTGCTTACGTATTCAGATATTATTTAATAAATCATTACCACACTAGAAGTCGGAAATATAGCGCTGATCGCTTTGAAATGTTCCATGAGTTTCCAGTTATGGTCAAGGACAACGCCTATAATTTTCGGTGATGATCATATAACTCATTTTTTGGTTTTTTTTTTTCGATTCGATCTATAGGCTACGATTATAGGCCGAACACAACCCACGGTAAAGGAATCATGGGCAAGTAATAAGAAGAGATGTACTGAGTATTGGTGATATTCGAAAAATATGGCAGTGTAAGGAAAGGTGCTGTTGACCTCTAATCGGGCAAGAGCGTGGAACTATCACGAAATATTAATCAGGCTCGGAATAAACATCCGCAGAAAGATAGAGTTCTGTTGTGGTAGTTGTGTAGGGTATCGTATGGTCGGCCCCGTCCGACTATACTGCTCCGCTCACTGGTTTTAAAATATTTTTACGAGCAGCTACCAAAAGGTAGCTGTCAAAGGCGTGTATTTTTATACCCTTCACCACACTGTGTTACAGGGTATTATGTCTTTGTGCATATGTATGTAACAGGCAAGGACAAGATAGACACATGGTCCCTTTTGAGAATATGCATAGAATCACTTTCTGAGTCGATTTATGAATGTCCGTCAGTCCGTCTCTCCATCTTTCCGCCTGTATATGTTAAATTTTAAACAAAGGTCACTTATTTGGTCCAAGGGCGAACCGTATTGAAATTCAAGAAAATCGGTTCAGATTTAGATATAGCTCGCATATATAGTTTCGTCCGGTTTACGGTCAATGGGGCACCAAAGTCCCTATATATCTTTCGATTTGCACGAAATTTGATGTAGCGTACTGAATTAGGTTCAGAATGATGTGTGCAAAGTTTCGAGAAAAACGGTTCACATTTAGATATAGCTCCCACATATAGTTTCGTACGATTTCATGTAAATGGTGCACCAAAGTCCCTATATATCCTTCGATTTGCACGAAATTTGGCCTAACGTACTGAATTGAGCTTAGAATGATGTCCGCCAAATTTCGTGAAAATCGGTCCTGATTTAGATATAGCTCCCATATATAGTTTCGTCCGATTTCATGTAAATGGTGCACCAAAGTCCCTATATATCTTTCGATTTGCACGAAATTTAGCATAGAGTACTGAATTGAGTCTAGAACGACGTGTGTCAAGTTTCGAGAAAAACGGTTCTGATTTATATATAGCTTCCATATATTTTCCTCCGATTTAAGGTAAATGGGGCACCAAAGTCCCAAAGTCGATTTGCACGAAAATTGATGTGGCGTACTGAATTAGGTCCAAAATGACGCGTGCCAAGTTTCGAGAAAATCTGATCAGATTTATATATAACTCCCATATATATTTTTGTCCGATCCAAGGTTATTGGAGCTCCAAATTCCCTATATATCTTTCGAGTTGCCCGAAATTTGGCATATGATACTGAATTAGGTCCAGAATGAAGTGTGCGATGTTTCGTGAAAATCAGTTCAGATTTAGATATAGCTCCAATATATATTTTCGACTGATTTAATTTAAATTGTGCACTAAAGACCCAATAATTGGCTGACCGGCACACAATTTTGTACCATGTACTGAAGTTACTATAACCTTTCGTGTGTCAAGTTTTCTTGAAAATGGTATGGAATAGGTTGCAGAATGACATGTGTTGGAATTGATGTAAGCCGGTTAGCTTAAAGATAAAAATCACATATTTTACTTCGTTCAATTTCATGTCAATGTTTCTTCAAAAAGGGAACGTCTGTTAGGATACATATGTAGAATATACCCAAAACGGTGAAGGGTATCATATACTTTCTTCTTTCCTTACTGGTTTAAACATATTTTTTTGAGCAAGGCGTGCATTTTTTTTTATATTTTTTCAAGCTGCCAATATAGATATGGAAATATGTTTATTTTTGTTCCATTTTCACGTTCAATTATCGTGTTCTGCTATTTTTTAATGCACTCTGATTGCACTTCATTAGTGTTTTTGTTGTTGTTGTTGCTATATTTTGTTCATTCTGTTTTTGAATGACCATTGATAAAGTATTTATTTATAAAATGCTTCAATAAATATAAACAGAAAATTCCATAAAATGGTGCTCTACTCCACAGAGGGGGCTGATGTGTCAAGAGGCAATAAACTTGAAGTGATTTTTAATTTATAGGGATTGGATGTAAGGAAACAATATATCAGTAAGGAAAAGAAATTAATTTATTATGAAACATAAATCATATAATGAGGGATTTATGAGGGCCCATGGGGGCGAAAATTTTTTAAATAATACTTTTCAATGACCTTCATAAGGCGTAGATTTTTTAAGGTAAATGGTGCACCAAAGTCCCCATATATCATTCGATTTGCACGAAATTTGGCACAGAGTACTAAATTAGGTCCGGAATGATGTGTGCTAAGTTTCGTGAAAATCGGTTCAGATTTAGATATAGCTCCCATATATAGCTTTCTCCGATTTTAGTTAAATAGTCTACTAAAGTCCCTATATATCTTTCGATTTGCACGAAATTTGGCACAGCGTACTGAATAAAGTCTAGAATGATGTGTGCTATGTTTTGTAAAAATCGGTTCAGATTTAGATATAGCTCCCATATATAGTTTCGCCCGATTTTAGGAAAATAGTGCACCAAAGTCCCTCAAAATCTCTCGATTTGCACGAATTTTGGCATAGCGTACTGAATTAAGTCTAGAAAGACGTGTGTTAAGTTTCGTAAAAATTGGTTCAGATTTAGATATAGCTCCCATATATAGTTTTGCCCGATTTTAGGTAAATAGTGCATCAAAGTCCCTCAAAATCTCTCGATTTGCACGAATTTTGGCATAACGTACTGAATTAAGTCTAGAAAGACGTGTGCTAAGTTTTGTGGAAATCGGTTCAGATTAAGATATAGCTGCCATATATATTTTCGTCCGATTTTAGGTAAATAGTGCACCAAAGTCCCCATATTTGTTTTGATTTTGGGATAGCGTACTTATTTAAATCTAGAATGATGTGTGCAAAGTTTCGTGAAAATCGGTTTAGATTTACCTCTATATATATTTCCGTCCGATTTTAAGTAAATGGTCCATAGCTAGGCCGATTGACACAACGTACTGAAGTAAATGTAAATTAATCTCTGATAAGTTTCCGTGAAATCGGTTCAGACATAGATATAGCATAGCTTCCATATATAATTTCGACTTTAGGATACATATGTTGAATATACCCAAAGTGGTGAAGGGTATCATATAGTCGGCCCAGTCCGACTTTACTACTTTCCTTACTGGTTTTTGTTTCTTTTTTCGAAAATTTTCCCAACACTCCAATCTCAATGATGTTACACGCAATTACTGCTTGTAATTTATTTTTCAAGTTGTTGACTTATGAACTCAACTTTTTTCAATTTCCTATTAAATAAATTTGTCATGACGCCCAAAGTTTTGTTTAACAACACTCAATATATTTACCACTATTCTTATAAATAATATAAAATATAAATTAATATCAAATAAATACAAAAACTCAAACTGTGATACCCTCCAAAAACATGGGTACCCGCTGACGTTTCAGCACCTTCAGTGTTGATGAGTGTTTGGGGCAACGACACTCGAGGGGCTTGCACTGACACTTCTTGGTCTTTTTCGCAATGGTGTGCTGTAGGATTTGTTCTGGAAATAATATATCGGAATAAATTCAATATAATTTTGATTTTTTTTAATATATTATTTTATTTTTTCAAATTAATTACTACACTCACTATCTTTAATAATTTTATTTGCCTTGGGCAATGATTTCAAAACTTTTTTAAACATTTTGGTGGGGTTTTACAATTTTTTTCTTTACGTTTTTTGTCTTATGAAGTGTGATAATATAATGGGCTGGTGGATTGTGTTGGCTACCATATTTATTAAAATTATTTAAATAATGTTTAGTGTCTTTTTTTAAATGAACTAAATTTAACCACATTTCAAACGATAGCCGGTGGTTAGACACACATTTTTTTAAGGTTCAAAACACACATTTTAATTTAAGTGTGGGAAATATTTTCCAGAAATGTAAAATAAATAATCTAGAATAATCTACAAATATTAAAATAGAAGTAGAAAATAGAAACCGACGGTCTCTATGAATTTTTTTCTATAGAAAATACTCGACCAACGGTCTTCTCGAATTTTTTCAATAGAAAACCAGTAAGGAAAGTAGTAAGCGGACGAGGTCGACTTTATGATACCCTTCATCACTTTGGGTATATTCAACAGATGAATCCTAAAAGACGTCGCATTTTAAAGGACCAGTAAAATGAAATTGGATCCAAAAACATTTCATTCTGCAACCGATATTAAATGTTTCATTTGGTCAGATATAGAAGCTATATCTAAACCTGAACCGATTTCAGGAAACAAATTTCGTGCAAACCGAAAGATATTAAGGGACTTTGGTACACCATTTTCCTTAAATCGGACGAAAATATATATGTGAGCTATATCTAAATCTGAACCGATTTTCAGGAAAATTAACACACATCATTCTAGACCTAATTCATTACGCTGTGCCAAATTTCGTTCAAATCGAAAGATATTTAGGGACTTTGGAACACCATTTACATTAAATCGGACGAAAATGTATATGGGAGCTATATCTAAATCTGGACCGATTTTCACGAAACTTAACATACATCATTCTAGACATAATTCAGTACACTATATCAAATTTCGTACAAATCGAAATATATATAGGGTATTTGGTGGACCATTTACATTAAATCGGACGAAAATATATATGGGAACTATATCTAAATCTGGACCGATTTTCAGGAAACTTAACACACATCATTGTAGATCTAATTCATTATGCTATGCCAAATTTCGTGCAAATCGAAAGTTATATGGGGACTTTGGTACACTATTTTCTTTAAATCGGACGATAATATATATGGGAGCTATATCTAAATCTGGACCGATTTTCAGGAAACTTAACACACATTATTCTAGATCTAATTCAGTACGCTGTGCCGAATTTCGTGCAAATCGAAAGATATATAGGGACTTAAGTGCACCACTTACATTAAATCGGACGATAATATATATGGGAGCTATATCTAAATCTGGACCGATTTTCAGTAAACTTAACACACATCATTCTAGAAATAATTCAGTACGCTGTGCGAAATTTCGTGCAAATCGAAAGATATATAGGGAATAAAGTGCACCATTTACATAAAATCGGACGAAACTATATATGGGAGATATATCTGAATCTGAACCGATTTCCTCCAATTTCAATAGGATTCGTCCTTGGACCAAAAAAGTAAACTTTGCCAAATTTCATCCAAATCGGATCATAAATGCGACCTGTACTTTGTTCACAAAAATACATGGACGGACGGACAGACAGACATGCATAAATCGTCTCAGAAAGTGTTGCTATGCATATTCTCAAAAGGAACCATGGGTCTATCTCGATTTCTTTTGCCTGTTACAAACATATGCACAAAGACATAATACCCTGTACCACAGTGCGGAGGAGGGTATAAACATTCACCTACGGCGTAAGGTCTCACGAAATTTTTTCTATAGAAAAAAATCGACCTAAGGCCTTAGCACATTAATTTCTATAGGAAAAAAATGACCTACGGTCTCACCAATTTTTGTTTCTACAGAAAAATATCGACTAAGGGTCTCATCAATTTTTTTCTATAGAAAAAATGCTCTCCCTTATGTAGACCTTGAACAAATATTTTTAAAAAATTCACGCAGTTGACATACTAATATTTTTTGCCTCCACTGTATGTGTCGTAAACCAAAGTTTTATTATGACACTCCCCCCCTCCTCTTCTGCTGCGACCGATAAGAATACGAAAACGAAAGTGTGAACAAAACAAATAAACATAAGAAATATGCAAATTATATTATTGGTTTGTTTTTCTTGTGGTTATCAGAAGAGCATACACAACAAAATCGGAAAAGAGAACGAGAGAGTGGTAAACTGAGAGCATGTATGCCGGCTGATCGCAAAAATCTTCAGCAGATGACACGATTTTCTTGTCGCCTTTTTCTTTTGGTTTAGTCGCTTTCGAGCTTCTGAAAAGTAAACAAGAAAATTCCACCGACCGAAAAATTAGACCTCTCTATACCCCGCTCTTTGCTTGTTGTTCGGACGATCACCAAAAACAAAACCACAGCAACCACCTCCGACTGACGCTGAAGCCCCGCAACATATAGCAGTGGCAGCAGTAAAACAACAAAGAAACACAGCGACGTTGACGTCAACCGCGACGCAGCAATGTGGTCACAAACATTTCTAATTGCATGCCTGGTGCCGCTGATATGGGCTGGCGTCTATCCAAATTATCATCCCCACTTTGATTTTGTTCAGTGGGACAAAGAGAAGTCACTGGATGACTATGAAGCCGCAGTGAAATGGTGGCAGACTGCCTCTTTTTATCAAATCTATCCAAGGTCATTTAAAGATAGCAACAATGATGGTGTGGGTGATCTTAGAGGTAAGGGGGAACATTTTTTTAAAGAGATGCGATTTTTAAGGCTAATTGTCCTCCTTTAGGTATCATGGAACAGCTGCCCTATCTCAAGGAGATTGGCATCACAGCCACCTGGCTTTCACCCATTTTCAAATCTCCCATGGCCGACTTTGGTTATGATATTGCGAACTTCTTCGAAATCGATCCATTGTTTGGAACCATGGAGGATTTTGAAAATCTCATGAAGGAGGCCAATCGCCTGGGCATTAAAATCATTTTGGATTTTGTACCCAATCACACGAGCGATGAATGTGAATGGTTTCAGAAATCGGTGAAGCGGGATCCCTATTACAAAGATTTTTATGTGTGGCACCCAGGGAAAATCATAAATGGCACACGTCAGCCACCCTCCAATTGGGTCAGTGTTTTCAGGGGCTCCGCCTGGGAATGGAATGAGCAAAGACAGGAATATTATCTGCATCAATTTGTCAAGAAGCAACCGGATCTGAATTATCGCAATCCTCTTGTAAGGTCAACAATGAAATTGGTGCTGGAATATTGGCTGGCTAAGGGTGTGGCGGGCTTTCGTGTTGATGCTGTACCACACACCATTGAAAAGGCCCCTGATGCAGCGGGTAATTGGCCGGATGAACCGCGGAATCCCTATGTCAATGATCCCGATGATTATGGTTATTTGCAGCATATCTACACAGTTAATCAACCGGAGACAATTGATTTGGTTTATGAATTCCGCAAGGTATTGGATGATTTTCGGGCAGAGCATGGCGGAGATGAACGCATTTTGATGACTGAAAGTTATTCACCTTTGCCCATTGTAATGCAATATTATGGTAATGCCACCACGGAGGGGGCTCAGATACCATTTAATTTTTTGATAATTGAAGAGCTGGGTAATAATTCGAATGCCTTTAATTATGCGGATACCATTAATAAGTGGTTGGGAAATATGCCCGCGGGAAGGACAGCCAATTGGGTGGTGAGTAAAAAAATTAAAAATATAAAAAAAAATTGGGAAAGAATTTGGTGGGACCCTAGGTCTCATTTTTTTCTATAGAAAAAATCCGGTGAGATCTTAGGTCTACTTTTTTTCTATAGGCCGAGTTTTTTTTTTCTATAGGAAAAAATATAATGAGACCCTAGGTCGAGTTTTTTCTATAGAAAAAATCTGGCGAGACCCTAAGTCGAGTTTTTTCTATAGAAAAAAATCTGGCGAGACCTTCGGTTATTCTATAGAAAAAAGTCTGGTTAGACCCTAGGTCAATTTTTTTCTATAGAAAAAAAAATCTGGTGAGACCCTAGGTCGAGTTTTTTCTATAGAAAAAAATCTGGTGAGACCCTAGGTCGAGTTTTTTCTATAGAAAAAAATCTGGTGAGACCCTAGGTCGAGTTTTTTCTATAGAAAAAAATCTGGTGAGACCCTAGGTCGAGTTTTTTCTATAGAAAAAAATCTGGTGAGACACTAGGTCGAGTTTTTTTTTATAGAAAAAAATCTGGTGAGACCCTAGGTCGAGTTTTTTCTATAGAAAAAAATCTGATGAGACCCTAGGTCGAGTTTTTTTCTATAGAAAAAAATCTGATGAGACCCTAGGTCGAGTTTTTTTCTATAGAAAAAAATCTGATGAGACCCTAGGTCGAGTTTTTTCTATAGAAAAAATCTGGTGAGACCCTAGGTCGAGTTTTTTCTATAGAAAAAAATTTGGTGAGACCCTAGGTCGAGTTTTTTCTATAGAAAAAATCTGGTGAGACCCTAGGTCCAGTTTTTTTCTATATATATATATATATAGGTCGAGTTTTTTTCTATAGAAAAAAAATCTGGTGATACCCTAGGTCCAGTTTTTTCTATAGGTCCCTAGGTCCAGTTTTTTCTATAGAAAAAAATCTGGTGAGACCCTAGGTCGAGTTTTTTCTATAGAAAAAAATTTGGTGAGACCCTAGGTCGAGTTTTTTTCTATAGAAAAAAATCTGGTGAGACCCTAGGTCGAGTTTTTTCTATAGAAAAAAAATCTGGAAATAGCCTAGGTCGATGTTTTTCTATAGAAAAAAACTGGTGAGACCCTGGGTCGATGTTTTTCTATAGAAAAAATTGTTGTGGGACCTTTATGATTTTGTTTCCTCTTCCAGCTTGGCAACCATGACAAAAGTCGCATTGGTTCCCGCTTGGGCGCCGATCGCATCGACATGATGAACATGTTGACCTTTACCCTGCCCGGTTGCAGTGTCACCTATAACGGCGAGGAGATTGGTATGACCGATGTTTGGATATCATGGAATGATACTGTAGATCCATCAGCCTGTAATTCAAATCCCGATATTTATGAGTCCCTCTCCCGTGATCCCGAGCGTACACCCTTCCAATGGAATGATGGTCATATGGCAGGATTTTCAAAGGCCAACAAGACCTGGTTGCCGATATCGCCACTCTACAAGGAAATCAATGTGGAAAAGGAACGTGCGGACCCACTCAGTCATTTGAATATTTTCAAGGCCTTGCAGGAGTTGCGTAAGGAGCCGACAATGAAATATGGTCAGACAGAGGTGAAGGCTTTGAAACAAAATGTTTTGGGAGTTAAGAGGTAGGTGGCCAGAGGCTTTATAAGATGAGATTTTTTATGAAGTATTTTTTCGATTTCAGATTCCTTTTGAAGGACTACACCTTTGTCACCCTCTTGAATATTTTCAATGAGGTTGAAAGCTTTAATTTACAGCAGGCCTTCTTAAATATTCCCGATGAAATGGTATATCACATTGTAACCAAGAAATCCAAGGCCAAGAAGGGGTAAGCGAACCTTATAGCTAATTGAAAACTCTAAGTAAACCAATCTCCTCTTTTCTTCCTGCAGTGACCGAGTCAAAACCTCCTCCATAACTTTGCAACCCAAGGAGGCGGTAATTTTGAAATCCACCAGCAAATTGACCACCACAGCCGGTTATTACCTCTACTATACCCATGAAGAAGAACAAGAACCTCAACATTAAATTCTTAATTTTTATTTTTAGGTGCCAAGCACAATTTATTTTCGTTTTTTTAATTTTTTTTTTTTCAAAATATTTTCTTAAAACAACTTTTCAAAAAATTAGGCGGATTCTACAATAATGGCCTCATTGCCATTCAAATAGAAATTATCCAATGCCACCAGATCTCTGTAATAAAACCAAAATTTATAAAAAAATATTAGTGTTGAAAAATTATTTTTTTTTTTTTTTGGGCTTCGAAACCTACCCAACCTTCCTGGTCGATATGACATTGGCAATTTTCGTTTTATAGCTTCCCGAGGCCTTGATGACATCAACAACATTGGCATTTTGGGCCGAGTCCAAAACATTGGCCAATAGGATGTAGGTCTTTTCATTGGGCAGGGATCTGAAAAGGAGAAGAAAAAAATTAAAATCAGAAAATATGGGCCTCAAATTTATTCCATAGAAAAAAAATTTGCAGCCATGGGGTATCATTTTTTTGCTATTGAATAAAATATTCGGAGACCTCGGGTCTGAGACATCATGTCCACATAATTCGTAGACCTCGGGTCTTACATTTTTTTCTACAGAAAAAAATCCGAAGACCTTGGGTCTAGCCTTTTCTTCTACAAAAAAAAATCGGAGTCTTCGAGCCTCACATTTTTTCCAATAGAAAAAAATCTTAGAAAATAATTAAAAATCTCCCTCCTACCTCTTCACCGCCAAAATATTATCGCCCACATTGCCATACTGTAGATTGCCATATTGCAGTGTCTTCGTTTGGCGTAACTTCGACATTTCTTTATAAACATTCAGATGACTCTTGGTGGTCGCCTTTTCCGTTTCTACATTCACGGTGACATAATTCGGATTAACGGGCAACCAAGTGGACTTGCCATCGGTAAAGCCAGCTTCAGCAGCAGAACTCCATTGGAAGGGTGTACGTGCCGGATCACGGGTAAACTGTTGATAGTTATCTGGGCTGGCATTACAGGCAGCGGGATCGACACTATCCTCATATGATATTTCTAAATCGAGCATACCCAATTCATCACCCTGAAGGAGAAAGGGAAAGTGATGAAATTAAAATAACATTTTACCGAGCAATGGTGGAGGAGGTGCGGCTTACCATATAAGTGATACTGACACCAGGCAGGAACATTTGCAGCATATTCATCAGATCAATGCGATTCTCACCATAACGACTGCCAACACGACGTTTGTCATGGTTGCCCATCTAGGAAAAAAAATTGAGAAAATTGGGATCAGAAAAAAATTAGCTGAGACCTTAGGTGATGTTTTTCTATGGAAACGAATTTTGGTTAGAGCCTAGGTTAATTTTTTTCTATAGAAAAAATTTGGTGAGAGCCTAGGTCCATTTTTTTCTATAGAAAAAAAATTGGTGAGAACCTTGGTCGATTTTTTCTATAGAAAAAGTTTTGGTGAGAACCGGGTCAATTTTTTCTATAGAAAAAAATTTGGTGAGATCCTGGGTCGATTTTTTTCTATAAAAAAAAAATTTGGTGAGACCCTGGGTCGATTTTTTTCTATAGAAAAAAATTTGGTGAGACCTTGGGTCGATTTTTTTCTATAGAAAAAAATTTGGTGAGACCCTGGGTCGATTTTTTTCTATAGAAAAAAATTTGGTGAGACCCTGGGTCGATTTTTTTCTATAGAAAAAAATTTGGTGAGACCCTGGGTCGATTTTTTTCTATAGAAAAAAAATTGGTAAGACCCAGGGTTTTTTTTTCTATAGAAAAAAATTTGAGACCCTGAGAAAAAAATTTGGTGAGACCATGAGTCGATTTTTTTCTATATTTTTTTCTTTTTTTCTATAGAAAAAAATTTTGAGACCCTGGTGAGACCCTGAAAAAAATTTGGTGAGACCCTGGGTCGATTTTTTTCTATAGAAAATTTGTTGAGACTAGGTCGACTTTGGACATCAGTGGTATTTTTGTAAATTTCTTTCCCCGTTTCACTTACCACCCAATTTGCGGTTTTACCCGACGGCATATTATCCATCCACTTTTTGATGATTTTCGTAAATCCTCCAGCCGGCAGATTGGTATTATTTTGATTATCATTTCCGGCACTGATAAATTGGAAATTAAAGGGAATCTGAGCACCCTCCACAGACTTATTGCCATACATTTTCATAACCTGATCAATGCTGGACCAGGTTTCAATCATCAACACCCTGGTATCACCACCATGTACCCTTTGATAATCCTCCAGTAATTTATGCCATTGATAGACCATATCAATGGTTTCTGGTTGATCCTGAGTATAGATGTGCAGCAAATATGCGGAATCATCTGTATCATTGGTATAACCCGATTTCGGTTCATCAGGATAGCGGCCATTTTCATCGGGTAATACTTCAAACATCCAGGGGACAGCATCAATGCGAAAACCGGCCACACCACGATCGAGCCAATAGGTCAGGACCCGTTTCATTTGAGCCACAACGTCGGGGTTACGATAGTTGAGATCGGGTTGCTTAACGGCAAACTGATGAAGGTAATATTGCTGTCTCTTTTCATTCCATTCCCAGGCACTGCCACGAAAGGCCTGTAACCAATTACTGGGTGGCTGCCTTTGGCCCTTTTCATCCACATAGCCATCATGCCAGACATAGTAGTCCTCATAGCCCTTCTCACGATTAACGGATTTTTGGAACCAAACACATTCATCACTTGAGTGATTGGGCACGAAATCCATAATTATTTTTAAACCCAATTTATTCGCTTCCTTAATGAGTTCATCGAAATCAGCAAGGGTTCCATATTCCGGTTGTATGTCAAAGAAATTGGCAATGTCATAACCAAAATCGGCCATGGGTGAGACATAGATGGGTGATAGCCATGTGGCATTCACACCAATCTCCTTGAGATAGCTGAGCTTCGAGATGATACCCTTCAGATCACCAATACCATCACCATTAGAATCCTTAAAGGATCTGGGATAAATTTGATAGAATTGTGAGACCTGCCACCAATCTTTGCTGGCCAGGCTGTTATCGGTTACACTGCCATCACCGGTACATGCCTTACTCTCTTGGATCGCAAGGAGTAGTAGAGCCAAAGTGAGGAGGCCAATTAGTGGTCGGCTAATGGCCATAGTTTTATTAATTTGTTTCACTAAAAAATTTCAGACAGTTTCCTACTGCCTTTGTGGTCGATTAATTACTGCCATCCCCATTAGCACTACAAGGGGGTTTTAATAAATTTTTTCCCTTGCACATTCGTGCCTCAGTTACTTTAAGTTTTGTTTTTCTTTTCAGCAATTTTTTTCTCAACTATCTTCAAGTGTCTGATCAAATATTTGGTACTTTGTTTTGAATTGGCACTACAAACAATTTGTAGTTATTGTTGTTGTTGATTTTTTTTGCATTTTCCTGTTGTTGTTATTGTTCTCTATTTTCTTGCTCATTAAGTTTTTTGTTTTGCTATGATTTTTCGCTATGTGTGTATGTGTGTGTTAAATTGGTTCTTATCGCCCGGTTTGTTTATTTTTTACTTGAATGGCATTTGGTTGCAATTGCTCACTCAGGGGGGGGGGCTAAATTTAATTGAGCAGTCAGAATGCAACAGAGGCGGAATAAAAGACAGGGGATAAACAAATAAAAAATCAAGCTATGTTCTCTCCAGATTTTTTCTATAGAAAAAAAAATCTAGCAAGGGTATCTCCAATTTTTTTTTCTATAGAAAAATTGACCTGGGTTCCCGCCAATTTTTTTTATACAAAAAATCGACCTAGGGTCTGGGGAGATTTTTTCTATAGAAAAAACCAGTAAGGAAAATAGTAAAGTCGGACTGGGCCGACTATATGATACCCTTCACCACTTTGGGTATATTCTACACATGTATCCTAACAGACGACGCGTTTTTGTTATATATCTATATCTGTACCGATTTCAGGGAAACTTGCCAGAGACTAATTTATATGACTTCAATACGTTCTGTCAATCTAGATTTAGTTCAGTACTCTATACCAAAATTCACCAATTACATAAAATCGGACGAAAATATATATGGGGACTATATCTAAATCTGAACCGAATTTCACGAAACTTACCACACGATATTCTAGCCTTAATTCAATACGCTATGACAAATTTCGTGCAAATCGAATGATATATAGAGACTTTGGTACACCATTTACCTTAAATCGGACGAAAATATATATGGGAGCTATATCTAAATCTGAACCGATTTTCACGAAACTTGGCAGACATCATTCTAGACCTTATTCATTACGCTGTGCCAAATTTCATGCAAATCGAATGATATATAGGGACTTTGGTACACGATTTACCTTAAATCGGACGAAGATATATGGGAGCTATATCTTAATCTGAACCGATTTTCACGAAACTTGGCAGACATCATTCTAGACCTTATTCATTACGCTGTGCCAAATTTCATGCAAATCGAAAGATATATAGGGACTGTTAACATAAAATCGGACGAAAATGTATATGGGAGCTATATCTATATCTGAACCGATTTTTCCCAATTTCAATAGGGTTAGTCATTGGGCCAAACAAATGAGCTGTGCCAAATTTCATCCAATTCGGATCTTAAATGCGACCTGTACATTGTTTACAATTTAACATGGACAGACGGACAGACGGACGGACATGAATAAATCGACTCAGAAAGTGATTCTATGCATATTCTCAAAAGAAACCATGGGTCTATCTCGATTTTTTTTGCCTGTTACAAACATATGCACAAAGACATAATACCCTGTACCACAATGTGGTGAAGGGTCTCTCCAGTTTTTTTCTTTTGAGAAAGATCGAACTATGGTCTCTTCAGATTTTTTTCTATAGAAAAAACTCGAACTATGGTCTCTCCAGATTTTTTTCCATAGAAAACTCGACCTAGGGTCTCAGAAATTTTTTTTTCTATGAAAAAAAACCTGGCCTAGGGTTTCAGCAGATTTTTTCAACAGAAAATCTCGACCTAAGACCAAAATTCGACCTATTGTCTCACCAGATTTTTATCTATAAAAAACTCGACCTAGGGTCTCACCAGAATATTTTTCTATACAAAAACCTCGACATAGGGTCCCAGCATAGTTTTTTTCTATGGAAAAAGCTCGACCTATTGTCCCACCAGATTTTTATCTATAGAAAAAACTCGACCTAGTGTCTTACCAGATTTTTTCTATAGAAAAAACTCGATCATAGAAAAAGTTGAGACCTGTTGTCATCGTGGTGTCCAATTCCTGCCCCTTTGTGACCCCCCTCTGACCATGTTAATTACTATTCGTATGTGCCTGTGTTTATTTTGTTCCCACTGAGAATAATTATTCATGCTGTGCATTTGAAGAATATCAATCAGAAACAAACAATAGTCACTCCGTCTGTCCGTCCGTCATTCGAAGTATATTTGTGAGTGTGTTGCTTATATGCATTTCGTTTTTGTTGTTGTGTTTATTTGGCAATTTCATTCATATTTCGCCTCACTGAAGTGGAAGCTTTTAATTGTTAGGTGGTGGGTCCGGTGTGTTGATGTGTGTGTGTGTTTGGATTTTATGGAGCTGTGCAATATTCTCAGGGAAATTGAATAGAAAAACAAATTATAATTACATATCTTGACTGCAAAGGTGAGATGAGTGGTAATGAGGGATTTCGAATTATTATTTTTTTTAATTTCAATACTTTAAAAAATATTTTATATATATTTTTTTTTGGAAAATTAAAATGTAAAATTTCGACTATTAAAAATCAAATATTAAAAAAAACTTATTTTTAATATTTTTGTATAAAAAAAAAATATTTTTTAGGAAAATTTTTTTCAAATTTTGTATTTTTTAAATGGAAAAAAAAATATTTTCAAATTTTTTGGAAGAAAAAAATTTTCAATTTTTTTTGGAAAATAAATATTTTTAAAATTTTTTGGAATAAATATTTTTCAATTTTGTTTTAAAATTTATAATAATTACTCCCGACGTCTTTTTTTAGTATCTTCTTTCATTTATTATGTGTATGTCCATGACTATTTTTCTAAGGCCTACGTGACACATCGTTGAGTTTTCATATCAATTTCAAATATTCAAGTGGATCCCCTCAACAAATTTTCCAATCACTTCTATGGCACACAGAGAAGTTTTTATTTACACACTTCAACCAGTGTAAACCGACCTTACTTAACAATTGACGTTTTAAACACACAATCGGTATGCGGCAGTTTTGGCTACACAAAACTAGAAATGGGTAGATTTGTTAAAAAGTATCGATTTTTTTAATGTCTCCAAAACTCAAAAAATATTTTTTTAAAAATTTGGAGTTATTAAAAGGGTCTATATGAGGCATACTTTTTTGTTGGATCTACATAACGCGTGGATTGATTTTTAAAACATATTCTTAACCACCTTTATTTTTAGGGTCTACATAAGGTATGGATTTTATACCCTACATAACTATGTTGTCAGTGTATTATAGCTTTCTGCAGCCCCAAGAGTTTATAACGCCGCGAAATATTGGCCCTAGACCCACATTTAAGAATATCGATCGTCATATCTCGACTGAGTCAATCTGTCTGTCTATTATAATTTGTTAACACGATACAGGCCACAGTTATGGTATGGTATGTATCCTGACTTTTGTGTGAAAAATTACAAATTTGGTATTCAATGGCAAATGTATTTCCTCCTGAAGGACATAGACCCGAGATAGTACATCCAAGAGATGTGGTTGACCTTTAAATTGATACCAACTATATGGTTGGATGTACTCGGATGTGGAATTTATACGTAAATATTTGAAGGTGTCTATGTGCTATGATAATGTTTAGTACTGCTATTACCCCACTTGAGGGCGGAAATATCGAGCTGATCGCTTTGAAATTTTACATAAAGTTCCGGTTATGGTCAGTGCCTATATTTATCGGTGATAATGATATGGAGCTTAGGGTACAATAAACCGAAATCTATATTTTTTTGTGAGATTTTCTGGTCGCTCTAGAGGCCATTATTATATGCAGAACATCAGATATTTTACACGGTGAATGGGGATCTGAACAATTACTTAGAACGGTGTTTAGATGATGATCGGTCAATATTCCGAGGGTCAAATCAACAACAACCTAAATTGACCAAATTTTTATACCCTTCACTACACTGTGGTACAGGGTATTAGTCTTTGTGCATATGTTTGTAACAGGCAGAAGGAAACGAGATAAGTCGATTTATGCATGCCCGCCCGTCAGTCTGCAGTTGTTAAGTTGTAAACAAAGTACAGGTCGCATTTATGATCCGAATTGGATGAAATTTTGCATAGGTCACTTATAGTCCTATAGCTCCTATATATATGTTCGTCCGATTTAATGTAAATGGTGTACCAAAGTCCCTATATATCTTTTGATTTGCACGAAATTTGGTACATCGTACTAAATTAGGTCTAGAATGCATATTTCCTGAAAATCGGTTCAGATTTAGATATAGCTTTCATATATATTTTCGTCCGATTTAATGAAAATGGTCCACCAAAGTCCCTATATATCTTTCGATTTGAACGAAATGAATTAAGTCAAGAATGATGTGTGCGAAGTTTCGAGAAAATCGGTTCAGATTTAGATATAGCTCCCATATATAGTTTCGTCCGATTTAAGGTAAATGGCGCACCAAAGTCTCTATATATCATTCGATTTGCACGAAACTTGGCATAGGATACTGAATTAGATCCACAACGATGTGTGCTAAATTTGAAAATCGGTTCAGATATAGATATAGCTCCTATATATAGTTTCGTCCGATTTTATGTAAATGGTGAACCAAGGTCCCTATATATCATTCGATTTGCGTGATATTTGGCAGAATGTACCGAATGCAGCCTAGAATGATGTTTGCTTAGTTTCGCGAAAATCAGTTCAGATTTAGATATAGCTCCCATATATATTTTCTTCCGATTTAAGGTAAATGGTGCACCGAAGTCACTATAAATCTTCCGATTTGCACGAAATTGGGCACATCGTACTGAATTCAGCCTAGAATGATGTTTGCTAAGTTTTATGAAAATCAGTTCAGATTTAGATAAAGCTCCCATATATATTTTCATCCGATTTTATGAAAATGGTGTACCAAAAACCCTATATAGAGTCTAGAATGATGTGTGCTACGTTTCGTGAAGACTGATTCCGATTTAGAGATAGCACCCATATATAATTTCGTCCGATTTTAGGTAAATGGTGCACCAAACGCCTAATGCCTCCGATAAGCGACGTCTATTGGGATATATATGTAGAAAATACGAAAGTGGTGAAGGGTATCATATAGTCGGCCCAGTTCCTTACTGGTTCTTTCATTATTTTTATTTTATTTTTTTATTTTATATATTTTAAGTACTCTATAATGATTCCTTAAAACTAATTACAATTAAAATATATATTCTAATAAATATTTATTTAATTTGATTCCACAATTATGGCCTCATTACCGCTCAAATAGACTTTGTCAAGGGAAATTTCATCTCTGAAATAAAAAATAAATTTAAATGGGGAATTTTCGAAATATTGATTCAAATTTCAAATATTTTTCAAAACATACCCCACTTTCTTATTGGAATTTACATTGACAATTTTTATTGTAAATTTCCCACTGGCCTTGATGGCATCCGTAACACTGACAGTCTTGGCATGACCCAAGACATTGGCCAATAAAATGTAGGTCTTTTCACCAGATAAAGACCTGAAATGAAAAAGAACATTCCAAAATGAAAAAAAAATATGTTCTATCGAAATAGGCCTTCAAAGGACAATACATATTTAAAAAAATCGATTTTTTTAAATTAAAAAAAATTAGACCATTTTTTTTTTAGATCCAAATTAATAATTTTTGCCAGCAATATTTAACCCTTGTGAACATAAGTATTTTGATCTCACCTCTTTATGACCAAAATATCATCGCCCACATTACCATACTGCAGTCCGCCATACTGCAATGTTCGCGTTTGACGCAGCTCTGACATTTGCTTATAAACATTCAAATGACTCTTGGGCTTGGCCCGTTCCGATTCAACATTTGTTATCAAATAGTAAGGATTAACAGGCAGCCAAGTAGAGCTATTTGTTGAAAATCCAGCATTTGCTTTAGTACTCCATTGGAAGGGAGTACGTTCTGGATCACGGCTAAATTGATCATAGGTCTCAGAATTGGCTCTACAGGCGGCAGGATCAACGCTCTCCTCCCACGAGAGATCCGTATCGATCATGCCAATTTCTTCGCCCTAGGGAGAAATCAGAAACAAATCATTTTACATTTACAGAAAAGTCGAAGGAGGGCGTATGGCATACCATATATGTCACACTGGCACCGGGCAAAAACATTTGCAGCATATTCATCAGATCGATGCGTTTCTCGCCATAGCGGGTACCCACACGACTGCGGTCGTGATTTCCCATCTGAAAATGAGAAGATTTTTTTAAAAATAATTTTTCAAGGTGTAATCAATGGCGTGAATTTTTTTAAAGATATTTTTAATGGTGGAGTCAAAGGCGTGAATTTTTAAATAATATTTTTTAGGTCGAGACATAGGCGTGGATTTGTTAGAAATATTTTTTAAGGTCGAGACATAGGCGTGGATTTGTTAGAAATATTTTTTAAGGTCGAGACATAGGCGCGCGATTTTTTAGAAATATTTTTTAAGGTCAAGACATAGGCGCGCGAGTTTTTAGAAATATTTTTTTAATATCTACCCAAATTTTTATTAAGTACTTACCACCCAATTCGGTGTCTTTCCCGCCGGCATGTTATCCATCCATTTGTCAATAATGGCCACAAAACCATCGGCCTTCAAATCCGTGTTATCCAAATCCGCATGTCCCCCAGCAATAAATTGAAAATTGAAGGGTATCTGAGCTCCTTGGGTGGTGCGATTACCATAGAGCTTCATAACCTCATTGATCTTCGACCAAGTTTCAATCATCAGCACCCTGGTATCACCACCATGCACCCTTTGATAATCCTCCAATAGCTGGCGCCATTGATATACCATATCAATGGTTTCCGGCTGATCCTGAGTATAGATGTGCGAAAGATAATCAAAATTCAAGGGATCATCCGGATAAAGACCCGACAAAGGTTCATCGGGATAAAGGCCCGTTGTGGCATTTGGCAGCACTTCAAACATCCAAGGTACGGCATCAACACGAAAACCAGCCACACCACGATCCAACCAATAGGTGAGCACTCGTTTCATTTGGGCCACCACGTCAGGGTTGCGATAATTCAGATCGGGTTGTTTAATATCAAATTGGTGGAGGTAATATTGTTGTCTTTGTTCATTCCATTCCCAGGCAGAGCCACGGAAGGCTTGTAACCAATTACTGGGTGGCTGCCTTTGGCCCTTTTCATCCACATAGCCATCATGCCAGACATAGTAGTCCTCATAGCCCTTTTCACGATTGACGGATTTTTTAAACCAAATATTTTCATCACTTGAATGGTTCGGTACGAAGTCCATAATTATTTTCAAATTCAATTTATTGGCCTCCTTAATGAGTTCATCAAAATCCTCGAGGCTACCATATTCTGGTTGTATGTCAAAGAAATTGGCAATGTCATAACCAAAATCGGCCATGGGTGAGACATAGATGGGTGAAAGCCATGTGGCATTGATGCCGATCTCCTTGAGGTAGCTGAGCTTGGAGATGATACCCTTTAGATCACCAATACCATCACCATTGGAATCCATAAAGGATCTGGGATAAATTTGATAGAACTGCGAAGTCTGCCACCAATCTTTTGGCTGAGATGATGATGAAGAGGTTGTTACACCTCCAGTACCCGTACAACCATTGGAAATTTGGAATACACTTGCCAAGGATATAAGGCAAAGGATATAGCCTTTATAATACATCCTTGAATTCTCTTTTTAATTTTTTTGTTTCAAATATTTAATTTTAATTTCAAAACTTATTTCTCCTACTGTCCACTTGGAACTGCCATTGAATTTGTTATTGTCCAAGGTTTTTAAAAATTAAATTCCCTCGATTTTGTTTTTAATTTTCCATATCTCAAGTGTGTTGTAAGCTAGCTGTTGATGACTAGAATAGCTAAAATAATTATTGGCAGTTTCCTTTAGTCTTATGAGGTATTCATTATGTCAATATTTCAATTCTGAAGTGTTTTTTTTGTTTTGCAACGGCATTGCCATTTTGGGATTTAACGACCAAAATTCAAAATTTTGAAAAAATAGCTGAAAATTTTCTATAAAAAAGAAATACTTCACAAATATTTATAGATCAATTTTGGTCGAATTTTGGGCACTTTTGGTCGGTTTTTATAATACGGGAAATATAAAAAAGGCAACCCTTTTTCGATAACTTTTGTTATCGCCTTAAAATATTTACATTGCTGTGACGCATTTCGATTAAAAAAATTACAATTTCGTCATCTCGAAAACAAGGAAGACAGAGTAGGGGAAAGAGAGTACTTAAAAATGTTATCATGACCTATTATTAGGCATTTCCTTTTTTAAAAATAAATATCATGGCCTATCATTAGGCGTCCATTTTTTTAAAAATTATTTTTCATGACTTATCCCTAGGCGTGGATTTTTTTAAAAATTATTTTTCATAAGTTATCCGTAGGCGTGGATTTTTTAAAAATTATTATTCATGAGTTATCCCTAGGCGTGGATTTTTTTAAAAATTATTTTTCATGTCTTATCCCTAGGCGTGGATTTTTTTTTTAAATTATTTTTCATGAGTTATCCCTAGGAGTGGATTTTTTTAAAATTTTTTTTCATGACTTATACCTAGGCGTGGATTTTTTTAAAAAATTATTTTTCATGTCTTATCCCTAGGCGTGGATTCTTTTAAAAATTATTTTTCATGACTTATCGTGGATGTTTTTAAAAAATTATTTTTCATGACTTATCCCTAGGCGTGGATTTTTTAATAATTATTTTTTATACCCTTCACCACACTGTGGTACAGGGTCTTCTGTCTCTGTGCATATGTTTGTAACAGGCAAAAAAAATCGAGATAGACCCATGGTTCCTTTTGAGAATATGCATAGAATCACTTTCTGAGTCGATTTATGCATGTCCGTCCGTCCGTCTGACTGTCTGTAGATGTTACATTGTAAACAAAGTACCGGTCGCATTTATGATCCGATTTGGATGAAATTTGGCACAATTCACTTATTTGGCCCAAGGACGAACCCTATTGGTGAAAATCGGTTCAGATTTAGATATAGCTCCCATATATATTTTCGTCTGATATAGACACAAAATTCCCTATATATCTTTCGATTTGCACGAAATTTGGCATAGCGTACTGAATTAGGTACAGAATGGTGTGTGCCAAGTTTTGTGAAAAATTTTGATTTAGATACAGCTCCCATACATATCTTCGTCCGATTTAAGGTAAATGGGATACCATAGTCCCTATATATCTTTCGATTTACACGAAATTTAATATGTCACACTGAATTAAGCCTAGAATGATGTGTGTTAAATTTGGAGAAAATCGGTTGAAATTTAGATATAGCTCCCATATATATTTCCGTCCGATATAGGCACCAAATTCCCTACATATCTTTCGATTTGCACGAAATTTGGCTCATCGTACTGAATTAAGTCCAGAATGATGTGTGACAACTTTCTTCAAAATCGTTTCTGATTTAGATATAGTTCCCATATATATTTTCGTCCGATTTTAGGTAAATGGTGCACCAAAGTCCCTATATATCTTTCGATTTGCAAGAAATTTGGCATAGCGTACTGAATTAAGTCCGGAATGATGAGTGTAAAATTTCGTGAAAATCGGTTCTGATTTAGATATAGCTCCCATATATATTTTCGTCTGATTTTATGTAAATAATGCACCAAAGTCCCTATATATCATTCGATTTGCACGAAATTTGGCACAGCGTACTGACTTATGTTCAGAATGATGTGTGCCAAGTTCCGTCAAAATATCGCTCCCATATATAGCTTTGTCCGATTTTATATAAACGGTGCATCAAAGTCCTTATATATAATTTGATTTGCACGAAATTTTGCGTGTCATACTGAATTAAGCCTAGAATGATGTGTGGTAATTTTCGGGAAAATCGGTTTAAATTTAAATATAGCTCCCATATACATTTTCGTCCGATTTAAGGTAAATGGTGCACCAAAGTCCCTCTATATCATTAGATTTGCCCGAAATTTTGCGTAGTATACTGAGTTGAGTCTAGACCGATGTGTGTCAAGTTTCAAGAAAATCGGTTCAGATTTAGATATAGCTCCCATATATATTTCCGTTCGATATAGGCACCAAATTCCCTATACATCTTTCGATTTGCACGAAATTTGGCACAGCGTACTGACTTATGTCCAGAATGATGTGTGCCAAGTTTTGTGAAAATCGGTCTAGAATAATGTGTGCAAAGTTTTGTGAAAATCGGTTCAGATAACTTCCATATATATTTTCGTCCCATTTTATGTAAATGCTGAATTAGGTCTCGAATTATGTGTGCAAAGTTTCGTGAAAATCTGTTCAGATTTACATACACCTAAATATCCATAGCTAGGCCGATTGACACAACGTACTGAAGTTAATATAAATCAATCTCTGGCAATTTTCCTTGAAATCGGTTCAGATATAGATATAGCATAGCTTCCATATATAACTTCGACTTATTCATGTTTATTGTACACCAAATAATCAATGGGTGTTTGATTGATATTAAATTTTAAACAGTGCAGCATACCGAATAGCGTGTGTCAAGTTTGCTTTAAGGGGACCCCCCCATTCTCGGGGTCAAATTTTTTTTTGATTTAATTCGAATCTACACTAATTCAAGAATGTCCCTACAAAATTTCAAGTGTAAATCTCAAGAACTCTGGAAGATATAGCCGATTTGTTGTGTTAGCATCAAGTGACGGCTGAGGGGCTTCTCAAACTTTAAACGCGTTTTTATCTTTTGCGAATGGCGGGCACGATAACTCAAAAACTAATAACCCAATCGATACCAAATTTGTACACGTTTCTCTGTGAGTGTATAGCTATCGTATGAACTAGGATAAATCCAATCGGTGAAGAAATCGGCGATTTTCCAAAAATATGTTTTCAAAGGTCCCCCATTTTGTTAATTTTAGAGCGAAGTCAATAATCCTAGTTCATATGAGAGCCAGATATGTACTCATGCTAACACCGTTGGAATTTTCGGATTCCGATGTTCCAGTGAGGAGTTATCATGCCCGCCATCAAAAATAAGGACTTCTCTTTAATTACAAAAATCAACAACAAAACAATAACCATATAGTCGGTCCAGTCCAACTCTACTACTTTCCTTACTGGTTTAATTTGTGGATTTATTTCATGATAATTTAATTTTTGAAATTTATCTTCGAATTGGAATTTCTGCAATTATTTCCTAATAAATTACTGTAAATAAAACACCCGCATCTGTGTCACTCTCATTTAAGTATATCTCAATTTTCACTTTGATCTAATAGCGTCCTTTATTTGTGTGTCAGCTCAAATTTTCAGCCAAGACATTTTCCTCCTTTAAATAAATTCACATTGTCTGACACCTTGTTAGCAAAATCAGTGCCACATCCTTAGGATCTCATATGTGTCTGTGTGTGAGTGTGAACAAGAAATAAATCAGGAAAAAGTCATTAAGATTCGGAATAAATTTTCACCATTTTAATTTAAGGTGAAGTGTCGTTATTGTTGTCGCTTGTGGCATAAAAGCTCCGAGGATGTGAAGGTGTGTGGGTGGTGTCCTACGGCAGCTGGTTGAATTGTATTTGAAATCAGTCATTACAAATTTGTATTTTTTTTTGGCAAAATATACAAATTAATCTCATAAAAGAAATTTTATGGTGGTGGTGTGTGGCTTGAAATTTTTCAAAATCTACCCTCCACACATCCTACTCTACTTTCACGTTCATTAAAAATAAGGAAATATCTCTACCCTCTTCGAAGCATGTAAAAAAAAGAACAAAAGATGTTTAATGTTTTTTTGTTGTTATCTGTCTGTGTGGGTGTATGTGTGTTCGGCAATGGAAAATGTAATAAGACATGGCACGGAAAATAAAAAAAACTCCATCGTAAATTTTTCAAAGAAAAAAAAAACAACGACTTGCGAAATCATTATAATGACGATGATGGCAATAATTCCCATTAAAGGAAAAAACAAATACATCAAAAGCACACACACACACACACATACCCATTCAGCCACCCTTACAATCTAACTGACAAAATCGTTCCTTCTATGTGTGTGTGTGTGCGAGTGGTGTGTATGTATTTGTTCCAACAAGACAATTTCCCTTTATGACTGCTACAGAGCCTTTGAAAGCTAGAAACTCGTGTTTCAATACTTAACAGCGGAGTTTTTTCAGTCATCAATTCGGAGAAGCAAAATGTTCATGATTTATTTTTTTCCATCGATGATCAATCAAAGTTAATGATTTCGATGTCAAAATGAAGCAAACGAGCAAACTTACCAATAAGCATAAAATCCTCAGTTTCAAATTCACTGGAAAATGTGGTAGAGCATTTCACCAGTAACATTTAACATTCAAATGGAATGAGAAATGAAAAATAAGTTTTAAAAAATCCACGCCCTAGGATAGGCTTTAAAAAGTAAGTTTTAAACCAGTAAGGAAAGTAGTAAAGTCGAACTGGGCCGACTATATGATACCCTTCACAACTTTGGGTATTTGCAACAGATGAATCCTAACATACGTCGCATTTTTAAAGGACCAGTAAAATGAAATTGGAACCATAAACATGTCATTCAGCAACCCATACTAAATT